ATTTGATCTGGCTTGTAAATCTTTCCACCATGGATTATTTTCTTCAACGAACCATTTTCGTTCTTTCAAAATAGTAACAAGGCTGTCTGTAGCTGTAGATATATCAGATTGAATTGCAACTGCAGAAGAAACAGAATTGTGCAGTTCTTCTGGACATAAGTCGACCTAAAAGATGAACATTAAGTTTTTTTTTTCATAAAAATTATTTTGTAAGAATAAAATTGTAATACCTGTATCACTTTAACATCAGCCTGGAAACGAGGTGGCTTGCCAAAGTGTAACATCCAATTTAATCTAGCACCCAGTAACAAAATTACATCGCTTTGTTGCAATGCGAATGTTCTAGCACTAGAAACGCATCGTTCGTTTGTATCTGGAACGACTCCTTTTCCCATTGGCATCGGAAGAAAAGGAATCCTGGTTGAATATACAAGGTTTCGGATTTCATTCTCTGCTCTTCCATAAGCAGCCCCTACAATTTTAATTATATATTTTTGCATGCAGTTATATATTTTTTCAACATTAATCATTTTTTTAATAATATCTTACGATCTAAATTACCTTTTCCTACGATCAACAATGGTTTTCTTGCTCGCACAAGCAAATTAGCTGCTTGCTGAATTAATCGTTGATCGGGAAATGTCAGTGGCGGTGGTGGGCATGGCGCAACGTCATAAATGTTTTCTTCCTTGACTGACTGGTTTAATAAAGTAGCTGGCAAGTCTAAGTACGTAGCACCTACACAACATTTATAACGTGTAATATTTTATGCTTTTGCTAAAAACAGTATCCAGTGAACGTACCTGGCCGACCGTATGTAGAGAGTCGGATAGCTTTTTCCACATGGAGCGGTATTAGTGTTGCGGATGGTGGTCGAGCAGCATATTTACAATAGAGTTTACTGGATTCTACTTGGGGCCATTCCTGGAAACCTCCAATACCCTCATGGTCTTCAGGACACGATCCACCAAGTACTATAAGTGGCCTATGCAGAAATTTATATGTTCAAATTGCAGAAATATAACAATAGTAACTAGTAATAAAAAGTTAAGAATTTTTTCCTAATATTTTTGCCTTTTCTAATATCTTTATATGACACGGTTTACATAATCATTATCTAACTTACACACTATGTGTTTTCTTTAATAATATGGCACAATGAATGCGAACCGGGTTACATAATCAACTATAATCGTTTCATAAAAGATTACTATTGTTTTACGAGATGAAAGATTTGTATATCATAGAGATTGCATTAATTGTAATCCGAGACAATATAAAATTTCAATTACATCGTTGCAACATGTTGCGCCAATGAATTTTCCACAGAAAATATATTGGCTCTGTGCTTTCACGTAGAACATACACTTTTAATTAAAAATTTTTAAATTTTTATTTATAAATTTCAAATTATATACAGCAAAAAAGGAAGAGCTTGAATAAGACATTTACCAACAATTTACTTGAGCGTTTGCCATACCACCGATAACATGAAGCAATCCTGGTCCAGAAACGCACAATACCACTGCCGGTTTTCCTAATTTAAAAAATGTAATAACTAATTAATTAATCTTGCGATACTCGTACGTGCAAGCGTACAAAAGGATTGTTCTGTACGATAACGAATATTTTAATTAACCTTTCATGTGTCTTGACTTCCTTTCATACATTCATACTTTATTGTAATTATTCAAATATTTTTGCGCTTACTCGTTAAATATCCGTAAGCTTGGGCAGCATAGCATGCGGCTTGCTCATTTCTAAATCCAAGATATTGGATACCCGTTACTTGTATGGATAAAGCTAAGTCAATCACGGGATGTCCCATTATTCCGAACACATATTCGACGCCCTATTTATTTATCAAAACAAAAAGATTTAATAAAATAACTTTTATATTTATGTATCATCTAACATAATTAATGTAATGCATGTTTTTTTTTTTTTAGAATATACGTATGCACAGTTGTGTATATATAACTGACAACGTTATCAGGTTGGTACACGACGAATAAGAAATCACTTAAAAGACAATAAAACTAAGAAAGAAACTAAAAATACAATAGATAAGTTAACTGTACTTCTTTGATTTTTTCGTATTTTTTCATATGAGAAACAAGAATGATTATCCTGGTGGTGACTAGTTGTATGAATTCAAATGACAAAACAACTTCGAACGTGAATGTATAAAGTTTTTCTGAATAAGTGCACTACTTATGCGAGTACACGTTATCAGGAAAATATCTGCGCGTTGCAATGGAATGATTAATTTCTTGCACGTATCGAAGAGTCGAATTTTGTTTACGATATTTTAAAAATAACTTTGTGCGTACGTTGATTTAACAAACGTTCAGTTAGAAAATCAATTAAAAAAG